TTCCCTACCCTTCCCCTAACTGGATATCTGTTCTCTGTATTCCAGATCTACAGTGGTTAAACACTGAAGGTCCTATTTCTCTTCACAAAGACCTTTGTGGAAAAGTTGTGGTATTGGATTTCTTTACTTACTGCTGCATCAATTGCTTGCACCTGCTGCCTGATCTCTACGCGTTAGAGCACCAGTACTCTGATAAAGGTAAAAGTGCTTTGGCTGGCTTGGAATAGAATTTCCTGGCAGTGTTGCAGGCGGAGTAGCTGAGTCACTTTGTTGCTGGTTACTAAACAGCTGGCAAAATTTCAGGGGTGCCTAAAAATGTCTTCTAATCTTTTAAGTAGCCTAAAAAAGGTGACTGTGTATACTCCCATCACATTTTTAAATGGGGTTAAATAAGGTATCTGCTGTGTCTGTATAATTAAAGAAACAGGATATGTCATTAAAGCCCAAATCTGATATCCTCGTTAATAAGGCTATTTGCAAAAAGCTACGCAAGGATGTAAGATACAGGCTTAAAGTTAATCTACATGTATAACCCTCTGCACTGGGCTTAGGAACCAGTTGTGAGCAAAACATTGTAAACGTGGTAGAATGGATATAGTTACGATTACTTTTTTTTTTCCACTCTGAAATAACAAAATATGTAAGCTTGGTTTAGTTTGTTTTTGTATTGGCCTCACCTTATATACTATTAGTAGTCCTGTATTCTGGAGAAGGTATTAAGCTTTTTAGATTTCATCTCAGATGATGTGAATTTAGATCTCTGAGTGAATAAAAATGCAGGGTAATTACTATTTAGAATGCAGTCTCTTGTCATCATGATGACTTGTCAGAGATAAGCTGTGGTCTTACACAGAATGTATCAGCTACTCACTTATCTTGGATATTTTAATAGACTGAAGAGTGAGATGAAGAACAGTGGAATTTTTTCCAGCCCTAAAAATATTATATTATATATAATATAAATATGTAATAAAAATAACATTCTCTATTAATGTTGAAGTCTTTGATTCTCCATTGGCGTTTCTGATTGATTTTAATTTTGGCAGCATTTATTTTCATGTGTTACCTGCTTTCACTAGAAAAATTACGTCTTTGAAATTCCAAGTTCTTTAAGTAGTTCACTTACATATTGTCAGTATTGCTATGCTTTGTATAGCACTTTACAGAAGACTCAAATACACTCATTTTTCTATCTTGAAAAGCTTAGCTGTTTGCTTTGGAGAAATTTGAAATCTGGTATGTTTTACGTATGAGGAACTTTATCTAATAAGTGAAAACTGTCATGGCATTTTTTCAAGAGGGAGGCAGTTTTAAGTGGAAGGTGATTAGCAAATGATAAATAGACTGCTGGTGGATATCAGGCATGCTGGGAAAAAGGCCTAGATTGAGATTTCAGAAGAGTATATTGATTGTATAATGAATAATATTTTTAAATGATAAACATTTTGTAGTAGAGTGTTACTGTGTTAATATAGCTGCCATATCCTTAATCTGTTTTTAAGACCAAGCTGTTAAATCAGTTAGTAACAAAAAAAAATAATTTTAACAACCTCTCCCCACAAGCTTTCTCTTAAACGCATTTGAACATCTCTATGCTGCTGTAGAAGAGGCTGCAGCACTCTGAGCTGAACTGGAGGTCTAGTTGGAAACGCTTTTCTTTGTTTGACTTTTAATAAACTTGCTATCACAGGAGTTATTACTTGAGGAAAGTATTTTGCTGATAGGTGATAAGTTCTTTTTGCGTTTGAGCTACCCTAATAAATTCTCTTTAGATTTGAGCTATCCTGTTCCTACAGGAGCAGGAGTGAGGAAAAAAAATACTTGGGATGAAAGTGGAATAGCAAATGGAGTTAAAAGGAAAGAAGAGCAGGTGTGTGTAACATTAATCTTAAATATAATGTTTTAGGAAACAGAGGATAGCACTTGCATTCAGGAAGAGATTAAGGTGCTTGATGGTTCAAACAAAAAGAAAAATAGGGTCAGGGTTTTTTTTCCATTATAGATTTCCCTTTTGGTTGTTTTCTGTTGTTTTCATGTTTTGATTGTGAGCCTTTTCAGGATTATTTAATGTTTCTTTGCTGTGCTAAGTGTGTAAATTTTGGCATTACAGTAGTATAAGGCTGTATATTGAAATATGTATGTATAAATATATCAAGGCAGTAAGGGTTGTGGTTTTTTAAGCTGTAGAAACATACTTAAGTAGATGGTTTTATATCAATGTACATCTTCTTAACCAAACACAAGCATTATTTACTACACACTAGGAGAAAGAGGAGAGTTGTTGACTTGAGAAACTTGAGAAAGATAAAGGTTGGAAGAATAAGACTAAATTAAAAAGGATGTCGGACATATAAAAAATTATTTAAGAATGTCTTCTAGATATATTAATAAAGGTGTCTTGATATTCAGCCTTATTCTGGAGTTTCATTCCATTTTCATCTATTCTCTGCTTTAGTTAATAGAAGCCCCTTCTCCATTTAGAGGATGGAGGACAGGTTCACTTTTTGTTGGGTTGGTTCTGAAATCTGTCAGCTCGTTATTGCAAAAACTGATTTTGGTGCAAAAGATGAGTAATGTGATTTCTTTTGGCAGCAGCAAGTCAGATTAAATATATAGTGAAACTGCAGCTTTACTAAACTTTAGATTTGTAAACATAGCATTTATTTACACATTTAATGTATGTATTTATTGTGCTATAGAAGTGGCAGAGGGTGCAGACATAGCAGACAATATTAGTCAGAATGAAAACATAATGCATTTGGATCTTTAACCTATTGTTTGAATGCTGCCTATATTTTTGTGTGTAACTGAGAACAAACCTCAATATTGATACAGTTTACAGCAGTGTCTTTTTTTGATTGTACACTGCATACATATATTTTTCATACTCTGATTTTTTTAAAACGTGGTTTAAATGCCCTCTTAGTTGTAGTATATTGGAACTTCTGCAGTGTGATCATCAGACATGAGAAGTCTGAACACAAGAAGCTGTAGTTTTAAGGTGATCCTAAGCCATTATGTATATCGTTGTACATATGCACATAGTTCTGTTGTCTGGAACTTCAGGAGATCTGTTCCAAAATGAAGACTGCTTTCCATAGGAATAAATGTCACCTAGCATCTTTATCTGATATGTTCTCGCTGCTATCTTCAGTGGTGCTATTTCTGTTTTTCAAGTGGCATTCAGAAAGTTATTTTAAACCCCAGTGCATATTCAGTTCACGTTATCAGCAGTTCAGAAATGACTTCTATAAGAGGGAGTACTTTTTAATATTCAGAAATAGCTTGGCATAAGTCCAGTGTTGTGCTCTGGTATAATCCTTAAAATAAAGCATTTTAAATGGTGTGCATGTTCTTTTATCTCAGCATAGCATCTATCAGTTTCCACAAGAATTTTCTTCATGAGAGGATGTTATAACTTACTTGTGCTGTTCAGGTGTTCAGTATAGAATTGTCTTTCTACCCTTAATGGTATTTTTGAAGGACAAATATAAGCGCTGCTGCTGGTCCTATTATAGTTAAAATGTTTGACCTGCTGTTTGGAGTTCAGCGGTTAACGATACTACAACTTCAGTTGTCCGGTACTGTACCATGCTCTGCCTATAGGATTGATAAATACTGGATCAGTTATAGTGATTTTTTTCATTCTCTATCTGTGAAATTGTTATATTCAACTGAGTCTTATTGTGCCACACTTTACTGTTTCCTGTTGTGACACTGAAATATTACCATTCCTGCAGATGCTACTGTTCTCCATTAACACTGTTTTACGGTTGAGGGGAAGGGCTAAAAGAGAAAAATAGTTTTCCATTTCTCTGTAACTGAATAAAAAGCCAACCTGAGATTAAATTAGTTTAATTTTTAAAAGGAAGCAAACTCAGATGAGCTCAAATAGTACAACTATTTAAGACCTGAAATTATTGCCTTTCTTACATTTCTACCAAAAAACCAGAGGTGAGGGTAGAACAAAGATGCCCAGCTAGCCGGATTGCACCGCTACCATAAAGGTAGGAGAAAAGCATAGAAGTAAATACTACATTCCATTCCAGACCACATCCTTGGATGCAGTTGTTTACAGCTGTTACTTTTTGGACCATGGTTCAAGCCCTTTCTGATCAGAGGGCTGGTTTCACCATTCTTGCAAATGCAGACTCCACTGACTGTAACTGCAGGGCTTTTGGAGGACTGTTTTACAAGAGCATTTTATTTTTACATATTTGCTTGAAGTTTTAGAAAATTGAAGCCCTTTAATGGATTAGGTAGTAAGTGCCAAATAACAGTAACGATCTAGTACGTAAGTTTCCAGTTTAGAATGAATTGTGTGACAAATAACAGTTCATGCTAAATGAAAGAAAATGTATAAGATACGTGATGTATTGCAGAAAAAAAGTACACTTCTTGTGGATTAAAAATTAGAATGCTAGAATGCTAAATAAATAAAATTACTTTCTTCGTTAAGGAGACAGGTGCATTATGCAAGCTGCAAAAAGTTATTTTGTGTGTGGTTTTCCTTCTTGGAGAGCTAACGCTGGATTTTGGTAATTGCAATTGCAACTGGAAGAGTGAAGAGAAGAACTGGGGGAAAGAAGGGTACTGTTCTAGCTTCTATGAGAAGGTAGAAGATGAGGTAAATTAGTTAACAAGGCGATTGAAAATATTTGGATTATGTTCTGATTAGATTTGTGATAAACTGAAGTCTTTTCCCGTTGCAACAGATGGTTATATTTGAATGAGAGAAAAATTACCTTCTGAAAATTAAGTATCTGCTACTACAAGTAACTGAAACAGTTCGTACTCTCAGGTCTTCTTAAAACATTGCTTAGAAAACATTTATTTTAAAAAATTGTCTTGTCTAGATGAGTGTCCTTTCAGGAGGGCTATTTCCATTGGCTGTTGTTTAGGATGAAGCATAACAATATATTAGAGTAAGCACCAAATAACGGACCTTGCATGCTTAGAGATTCACATTGCACATTTGCTTTTATCCTTCATAACTAAATTGTATCCTGCTTATCTAAATTTAATAACTGTTCAAGCAAACCGGTTTTGTCTATAGTAGCACAATACAACATTTTCAATTGCAGTGAGTATTTGTATAAGCACAAATTAGTCTAATTTAGGAACCTTATGAAGTTCTTCAAGGATCTACGCTCCTCGTATTTCAGAGCATAAGCATCATCAGAATTGGATTGAATAATGGCTGTTCTACCTCCATGCCACCCTGTACAGACTCCAAGTCTTCTTTGCTTTCTGGTATTACTTGTATTACTGAAAAAATACGGCACTGCAAGGAATCCACCTATAGACATTGGTGACTTGGGGAAGGAAGGAAGGAAGGAAACGTCACAGATATTTGAATGCTACTGATAAAAGGGGGTTGTAAATGCTAAATGTCGTAGACCTGACTGGGGAAAAAAAAAAAAAGTACTATTTTGTTGTTGTTGTCAAAGTAATTTCTAATACTGCGGTAAAATTAACTCAAGTGTCAACTCTAAGGATATTTTCCTTTCCCATATAATTTCACTCCTCAAAATAACACAAAAGATCATATGAAAATTTAAAGCTTTTACTTGCATAAAGTAGAAAGATCCCAGTTTTTATTTGTGTTTACAAAATGCTTGTGCTTTCCATAAACATGAGTGAGATTTTTGGATACGTAGTAAGGTTAATGTGTAAAGATTTCCATTAGATTAACAGTTCTTGTTTCTTGTATTGCAGCTTTGTACAACAGCATGGTTACTGTTATCTTCTTCCTTACTTCAGTTAGAATTGACAAGTTACTTTGACTATAACAAGATTATGCTTATGGCCAATAGCATTCTCTATGTACAAAACGAGATGAAGTATGGTATTGATGTCATGCACAGTTAACTTCATTTGGTAGAGGTTATGCTAGTAAAACATAATTTAAAGCCCTGAAAAAGGATGTAGTCTTTCTTTTTTCTTTTTTTTTTTCCTGTTTTGTTTTTTTTTTTTTTTTTCTCCTGGAAGGTACTGAAAAGTGGCTTGATTGAAGGAAGGCTCTTCATTCTTTTTCTGTTGGGTAGGAAGGGGGAGTGGAAAATTTGGGGCTGCTTACATAATTGTCTACATGGGGTGAAAGTAGATTTATTTCTCATCACAAGGGAAAAGCAGCTGAAGTTTGAGCCATAGGTTCTTATTTCGGTGTTTGAATTTCATAAAACTAAGAAAATAAGCAAGCAATTCAAGGAAGCTCATAATTGTCTGGTATTGATTGATTTTAAGGTTGGTATTATGTATACAGTGTATATCAGCAGAATTATATTACTTTATGCTTATGCAACACCTTCGTACGAGGGTTTGAAGTGCAGTTATCCCTGCTATGGGAAAACCTAAACTCTTCATTGTCTTTATTAACAACATATAGAAATTAAGTTAAACATTTAAAAAAAAAACAACCAAGGTTTAAGCCTGCCTGGTTTGTAAGAAGTGCTATTTGTCATTTTGTCATACTTGTCCATGCTGCTGTTTCTATTTGAAATATAGCATACTGTATTGATTTCAGAAGCTTATACTTTTTTTTTTGGTACTGTTTATCTAGAGTTAGATATGCCAAGGTAACTCTGGACTTCCAGAGTTCAGTGTTACATTTGTGATTCCTAGTTAAATGTGGAAAAATAATGCATTTTCTAAAACAACATGATTGTGTATAGGACTCAAAAGAAAAAGAGGTATCATGAACATCTGAAAAAAAAATCCTGAAGTATCAGTTGAACTGTTGTAACTTACCCATAATTATTTTGTAAGTATTTTCTAACTTAGTATGTAGAGGTTCAGGAACTAAGAACAATTTATGACATATTAAATAAATGTCAACCAGCTGGGGAAGTAATGGCCCTAAAGTTCAGTTATTTTACTGAAATGTTATTTCTCAGTTTCAGTATTTTGTATATATAGCTATCTGTATTCCTACTGAGATGTAATTGCTTTTTGTTTGTTCCAATCCTGTTTCATTCTGGAAAGTAGTCAGTCGCATTGTGAGATAACTGTGCTTCATTTTTCCTTTTTTTTTTGTTTTTTATTCAAATGCAAATATGTTTCAATGCACGACTTTCTTTTTCCTTTCAGATGGTCTTATTATTGTTGGTGTCCATTCAGCAAAATTCCCAAATGAAAAAGTTCTGGATAACATTAAAAGTGCGATTCTGAGGTATAATATTGTCCACCCTGTAGTAAATGATGCAGATGCAACACTGTGGCATGAACTAGAGGTGTCCTGCTGGCCAACTCTGGTCATTCTTGGGCCTCGTGGAAACATGCTGTTTTCACTTGTTGGAGAGGGACACAGAGAGAAGTTGTTTTTATTTACTTCTATAACATTGAAATTCTACAAGGAGAGAGGACAAATCAAAGATAACAACATTGGAATAAAGCTATACAGAGACTCCCTCCCACCTTCTCCCCTGCTCTTTCCTGGCAAAGTGACTGTAGATAACTCAGGAGGAAGGCTGGTAATAGCAGACACTGGACATCACAGGATTTTGGTTACTCGAAAAAATGGAGAAATTCTACACACTATTGGAGGTAAGGGTATATAAGTTTATTATAGTAATTTTAGTTTAGGAGTAGGGCATGTTCGCTGGGCCTACTAGGCTGATTCTTTTCTTAGAGAACCAAGCAGTTTATATGCATTGCCAGAATTTTTTTTTCTACTAAAATCACTTTTACTGGATATGGGGGAATAGCATAGTACCATCAATGGGACTCTGTCAATGCAACTGTTTGAGAATTGTGATTTTTTTTTCTTTGTTCCATTGACTAAGTTTTTATTTTTGTGATGTTTAATATAAATTACAAAGACAACATTTTTTATTCTTCTGAAAGAGATGCAAATGGGTTTAGATTTAAGTGCCGTGCATCCACATCCAGCAGCAAGTGAGGAAAAGAGACAATAATGCCTCCCTTTCCAATAGAAGAAATGAATGTTGAATTGTGATGGTGGTGTTGTGTGGGGAGGTTCTTGGGGTTGTTATTTTTGTTTGGTGGTGGTTACTGTTGGTGTTTGTTTGTTTGTTTTAAAAACTCAAGAGCATTCTTCTATAGGATCCCCTTCTGGTTTTTGGAGGAGAGAATTATTAAGAACAGTGGCATTGCACTAGTGCATAGGCACCTGAAAGTGAAGTGACCTTGCTGTATATGAACAGGCCTGTGTTCTCACCAAAATTGAGGTGTAACTTATAATCAAGTTTTGAAAATAGTGAAAGTTAAATATTTTAAATTTAGTTACATTTGTTACAAAGTTTATATTAGTAACATTTCTGCTTTAAAAAAATAATCTCTGTTTTTGTAAAATTTTTATTTGCTTTACAACGCAAACCAAGAAAATGTAGTTGAGGTTGTACACTTTTTGTATGCTTTACTCTTTCATAAATTAAATATTCAGACTTGTTCTTTTTTTAAAATCTGTTACAGTAGTCAAAGTTACATCTGAATGCACCTAGTACATAGTTGTTAGGACAGTCCATCTGTGAGCAACCCTAATAGACAGATTTAGGAAGTGTTTGAATCCCCAAATCATTGAAAACAATAGTTCATTTATGTCTTAGAATCAGGACCTGTATGCTGGTATGTCCTATATTACTTAGTCTAATTTACTAATTAATAAATTTACTAGTGCCTGTCCCATGGCAGGATCCTGCAAACCTCATAAAAGTACCAGTGGCACTGCTTTTTAAATAAAGGAAGAAAATCTCTTGCTATTTGAAGTAACAGTGCATTGGATAGACAGACTAATTATCCAGGTTAACCTGATAAAGCCATTCATCTTAATACCTTTCTCTTATGGGAAGTACAAATAGGATTTCTTATGACAAAATTCTGTTATATCGAATTCTCTTTGATATGTGAGATGAAGTCTCTGCTGACAAGGTAACCTTTAGTCTTCTGGGATAGTCATTAAACAGCAATTCAGAGGAAAGTGCCATAACCCCTGAACTGGTACCCCTCCTTCCTGCGGCTTTCTGTGCTGTTCCTTCCCTGGGGTTGTGCAATCTAACGCTTACCAAGGGGAACTACTGGAATCTGACACACCAGCACCTCAGTGCTTCATGTCTGTTAAGGTCTAAATTATCTTCTGACAGTAGGTTGTAAAAGTTTGCGTATTTCAGTGACTCAGTGGAATGATTCGGTGAGCAGAAAATAGCGTAATGAAGTTGATAATACAGTAATGAATGTGAGCATGCACAAAGGTTGAAATTACTATATTTGAATCATAAATCATGATGCACACGTATCTAAATGTCTTCTGCTGACACATACTGCTAATGCACTTTAAATGTTACTCCCTCTGAAATGTGATGCTTACCTTCACACTGTTATATTCAGGTCATGTTCCTTTCTATTTCTTGATTGTTCTGTGCAGAAGACTGTCACTCCGTCATTCTCACTGTTCTTTTATCTAGTTAGTTTCATGCCATCTTTTCCTAATTATTATTATTAATGAGAAAACGCTGCTAGTCAAATATTAGTTTCATTTGTGATTATACCAAAATCTAAACCATTGAAAGGGAATTGAGTTTTGGAATTTAACGTTTTTCCTGCTGGCTTGCTTAGATGTAGTCGGGAATAAAAAAAGATGTAATTTTTTATTTCTGTCTTCTGTTGTTGCTGTTGTCTTCTAGTGCAAGGGAACAGGAGCTATTTAGATCCCTATTAAGACTTCTCTTTGGAAGATAAGCTTAAAGTAGCAGAGAACTTGTGGAGAACGAGTTCAGAACTTAATATTGCAATTACATAGCACAGTGATTAAAACAAGACTAAACAAAGTATTAATAAGGTAAACTGTACAAGGTGTTGTGAAAGCATCTCTTAGAATATGTAATTCTCTTACAGGTTTAAATGTATGCACTTTATTTTTAAGGGGTTTTCTTCTAAAATTACTTTTGAGTTTGCTTTGTTTCATTTATAGGTCCAAATTGCGGAAGGAGAGATGGAAGATTTTCAGAGGCAGCTTTCAACTCACCACAAGGGATCGCTATAAAAAACAATGTTATTTATGTAGCTGATACAGAAAATCACCTAATTCGAAAGGTAAATTTTCCGTAAGGAAGCGCAAAATTTAATCTCTTATACCTTACTCTACTTAGATGACAAGAATTTACACCAGATTAATAAGTCTCCAAATACCCTCAAGATCAGGAAGGAAATTTACCCCAATAGCATGTAAATAAATGCTTTGTGCAGTTTGTTTTTTGAAGGGCTACATATAGTTTTGTGCTTCCTTTCAAATGAAGATGATATGTGCTGCTTGTTCTAGCATAACTGATTTTTTTTTTTTTTCCCCTTAGTGACTCTTACTTTCCTTTTGTGAGAAGCATCTATTCTTAGTAGTGGAGGCAAAAATTGGGGTTTTTTTCACTTCCAATAGTATCAGATTCTTATCTAAAGTTAATCTGATTCTTATCTAAAGTTATTGTACTACTACGGTTCTGTGAATATTTAAACTTTTGTTAGCTATTTGCATCTCTAAAGTACAAGTAACTGCTTTAATTTCAGAATTGTCTGCATGTGGATTGTTTTGATTAAACACTTGCAAGGTTTTAGCATGTAGTGTGTTACACTCTCTATATATTGTCATCGGATCTTATATTTGGTTAGGTCAAATTTAGAGTAATCACAAAGTTAAGTTTGTTGAAGCAATAGAATATTGCCTTATCATTAAAAGTGTTTTATGCATCTCAGAAGATCTTGTACTCAGATCATCGCCAATATGTCTGATTCATGATCAGAGGAGATACATCCTAACTCAGTTTCGGATGCCTTTGTACTGTTAAGGTGCCTTTGTACTGTTAAGTAGCTTCATTCTGTGTTTCATTTCAAAACACTGGTCCACAAACTCCCTGCACTGTATTCATTGTAGCTGGCTACCAGGTTTTGTTCTGGAAAGGACCAAGGGTTCCTGTTGGTAAAGAGACATTGTTACTAAAAATGAGTAGATTGCTCCAGGGTCCTTATTTTACTAATATTCATCACCAGGAGATTAAGTGTTGCAGGTAGCAGAGACAGCACAGAAACATCTGAAGATCTATATTGTACTGCGTCAGCATTTTTTGTGATAATTAGCTCTCCCCTTTCATCTAAATATGCCATGAGGGTATCCGAGAATTAAAGTAATACAACAGCTACAGAACATGCTTTCAAATGTTTGTGCAGGCCATGGGCCTTGCAAAAGGAATGCGTGCACTGGTACAAATGTTAGAAGATGCTGTATGTGAAAGACTCCCTTTTTATGTGATCATCACAATAAATTCATGAGAAGTATTGGAAGTCACTGAGAAAATAAGCAAACGGGAAGGAAAAATAAAGGGATTTAGGTTGCAGAAATGAAAACATTTTTTTTGCTCCAGGGCATGAAATAAACAGCAAAAATAATTTGCTTTGTTCAGATTATTTTATACAGAGATGGGAGATACTGTTAGAGTATCTGAATTTTTATGTCACATTCCTATAGAAGTTTAAAATAAAACATCTGCATCCATTGTCCATCTGCGTATTTCTCTAGAAAATTGCGATGCTTTCTTCTACAACTGCCGAGCAAATCTTGACAGAGCAGTGTTAATTTTTGTTGCAAGTGGAAGAAAATTCCAGGTACATGGTTTTCCTGCTGCCCATTGCTTCCCCCTCCCCACCCCTCCAACATCAGCAAGCATTGCAGTAATATTATTTTCCTACATAAACAAATACCTGAAATTTGTTAGGATTTTTTTTATCTGTCAGCAAAAACTCTCTGGTTTTGACATCTAGCTCAAATTATCTGTAATTTCAGTCAAGTTAATGCTGTACATTTAGTGTGTATAATTTTGTTTCCTGTAGATTGACCTGGAATTAGAGGTGGTGACCACTGTAGCGGGCATTGGGATACAAGGTGTTGATAAGGAAGGTGGAGCAAAAGGAGAAGAACAGCCTATCAGCTCTCCGTGGGATGTGGTCTTTGGAAATACAAGTATTGTATCAGTTGAGCTTTTAACATCTCATATTTACACATGCGTGACTGTTTGCTAAACGTTTTCCTGTTTGGGTAATAATCTGAGATGTGAAAAAGTGAAGACATACTTTACAACTGAGTCTAAAAACCAGTGGTTTCATTTGCAAGTGATAACTGCAGTTCTGCTTTGGATCCTGAAAAAATGTGAACTTGATGTGAAGAAAAATTCTTTTGTAGCAAGTTATGTAGTTACTGGGTCCAAATACAGAAGGAAATTGTGATTGCTTTTGTTAGGCCAGTGCTTTATTCCAAGATTGCTTAAGAAGCAGCTACATTTTACAGGAAGTGGGCATTGTCTAGAAGTTCCTTTTCTTGACTATACAGATGTGTCTGACCACTGGTAAATATTTGAGTTTAAGAAATAACAGTAAGTTTAGTTGGGGACCTCTCTTTCTTCCTGTTTAGGTGATGTAAAATCATTAGATTCAGGATCGTGATAGAGTCAATCAGATAGGAGGGAATACCTCTGAAAAAACCTTGCAAGCATCAGGGGGTAAAAATTAAGTCTTTACGTAATACGATGCAAGAATCAGCTTCTGAGGATTTAAGTAGCTTACTTTCCTGATGCACTTAACACATACCTGAGCTTCATGTCACGTAACTGCCATGATTTCAACTGTTATTAACTGTGAGTTGGTACTCTTTTTTCTCATGTTTCCATTTCAATATAATTTAGGAGTTGCAAATGCCAGTTTCTTAACAATGTCAGAACAATGCTCTAATGTGGCATGAAACCCTTAGGTCAGTATTGCAGCCATAAAAATTGACTTCCAATATTGGAATTTCTTGAATGCAGATGAATGGATTGGGGAAGTAGCGTGATTTAAGTCTGATATCTTTTAAATTAGAGGTGCTTTGCAAGATTAGTAAATTAGAACATTTTACTGACCTGAACGCATTTGTTATAATCTTCGGTCAGTTATGAGGGAGGAAAACACATTCAAGTTAAGTTTGAGGGAACATGAATCTAGTTCATAAATGCTGATTGTATAGAAGTCTTCTGGTACAAGTATATTTTCAGTATAGACAGTGTACCACCAGCAGCCTTGACTACTTAAATAAGCAACTGGTATCAGTTTTTAGATTTAACGCTTTTGGTAACGTCTTCTACAAAAAAACCAAAACCAAACAATACCACCAAAAAACCCCACTTTTTTGAAAGGCTTTGTTAATAAACCTTACAATGTGTTCAGCCTATGGAATCTGACTTGCAAGAGAAAGGAGGAGTACCTGAAAGAGAATCTCAATGGATGTCGGTTGCTGCTAATGAACGCATAAGTAATGAACTCTGGCGCGGGGGTTGGACTAGATGATCTCCAGAGGTCCCTTCCAACCCTAACCGTTCTGTGATTCTGTGAGTTTTTCTGAATTTCATCCAATCCAATTTCCCTTTTGTCAACCAGTAGACCGTTACATGACTAGGCGGTAAAGTTTTCAAGGTATCTTGAACCATCAAGCTGATCTCCATGGGATGTTATTACAGAGCTGTTTCGCAGATCAGCAGAGGAGGAGACTAATAACTCATCAGTGCTTTGGCAACTTAAGCTGGTTAACAAAACTATTCAAAATATCCTATAATTTTACTTTTCATTTTTCGTGATGCTTCTGCCAGTAGTTATATATCTGTTGATACTTTGTATTTTTGAGAGCTCTGCTTGTTAAATGTTAATTGATATGATTGTTATCAACACAAACATAGTGATCGCTGAATTAGTCACCTGTAGAGGATGAGTCATCTGCACTGTTCAACACTGCTGAATTTTTGTAAGTGTTTACATAAAAATCGGATCTTCTGAATGCACTGTTCCAACCGGTATAGATTTTTTCATGTTCAGTTAGAACTGACCTACCAGTCGGTTGTCTATTTAGATCTCTACAAAATATCATATAACCTATCAGTTATGAAGAGATTAAATCAATTTAAATTCCTTCTTCGAGAGAGCAATAGGCCAAATAGATAAAAGGGGGGGAGGGCTTTCAATTTCTTTGTAAGATTTTTTTATATGGTTTTGTGTGAATAAAGTAAGCTAGGAAAAATTGGAATTACTGTAATAGCTACATAAAACTCTTAAGAAAACAACAACCAGAGAGAGTTGTCAAAACAGAGGGTTATATTGAGTAGATGCTATCAGGAGTGTGTCCCAGAGCACGAGGAGCCAGGATTGTGTCTTGTAGTCTGCAGTGCATTTGTCTTACAGCATAGATACCGTCATGAGCTGCAGTGACTTCTTTAAGTTTGTTGCCAGACATCACAGTAGTTTGTCAACACTGCAGCTGAGTTTGTCAAAGTTGTGCTGTTACTGCAAATTGCTCAAGCCTAGTAGGATCTTCTGTTACTCTCCAGTATATCATAGGATGCGTTTGTTACTCAGTAAATGCATGCAAAACAGAGAAATCTTGGCTGGCCTGGGCAGAGATCCAGCCTTCTGATGGTGATCCTCAATGTGCAGTCCTACAAGTAGATACCCTGTTGTCAGTATATTAAAACAGTATGCCAATGTCTATTTGTGCATTTGGATGGATGAAGTAGTCGATGAGAGTTTCAAAAATTGCTTTTGTTCCCATCCACACAGCAGTGCTCATTTTTTACATATGCTTCTATGTATCTCTGTGCAAGTTGCACAAGGTAATGTACACTTCAACAACTTAGGTTCATTATTACAAATTTCTTAAGTTTGACTTTTGTGTTAACTGACATGGCATGTGGGAAATAGCATCATACTTTCCCATTTTCCTTAGATCTGTGTAGCCTAAACTGTGTGTGAGGCATTTTTTTTTTCTTTTCAGAAGACAGGTTTATGGATTTTATAGTTTTTACACAAGTGATGCTTCTGTAAGTTTCCTTTTAATGTCCAAAGCCATGCTATCTGCAACACGAAAGGGAGAAAAAAAGAAGTTTGTGTTTAAGCTGTTTATGAACTACACTAGATAGTATTGAACAGCTTATGCTGACATTTGTCAAAGTCTCAAAGGGAAAGGTTACTTGTTAAATTTTTTTTCTGTATTGTTTTCTTGAGATTATCCCTACATACAGTTGAGTACGTATTGATGAATTAAAAGACTTCATTGTTTGTGTGTTAAAATTTTAATGTATAGTTTGTTGTGAAATTAAAAATATCAAGATTAAAAGTTTATGAGGGTACAGATGGGTTAATAATCAGAACAGATACTACTAAGTAGCATGCTTTTAAGCATCCTCATAGTATTTCCATGAGATAATAGGCTTTGTTTCTCCATTTTATACATAAACTGAAGTCTGAGGCAAAGAGGTTAAGTGACTGTGAAATACCATTTAAAAGAAAGCTGTTACTAATGTCTCTCTTTAAGGTAGGGGAGTTAATGGAGACAAAACATGTGCCAGGATTCAGGCAGACAGTATTCTTCCTTGTCATCTTTTTTATATCTTTAGTTGTGGCCAGTGAGCTTGTGTTTTAACCTCTCGCTTTAAAATTATTGAATGAACTCCATGGATTAAATTCTGTATTTGTTGAAGTTGGTGCTGAAATTTGCATTGACATAGATTGTGAAGGAAATACAGGGGGAGGGCCAGCAGTTTAAAAATACATTATTAAATTACTGTGTGCTTTTTTAGCTTCCTCTGTTGTCCCCTTCTATATTTATTCAGTGAGTGTTGAAAGCAAGTGATACTTAAATGCACAGTTGATCTGAGCGTGAAATGTTCTTGATAGCTGCATTCTTGCTGGAAGGAACAGGACAATGACCTGTGCTTGGTGACATAACAGTGTGTTTCACATTCCAAAATCTGGTCTTAAATTGCATGATTGTAATCTATTTATGGAAACTCCTAAGTACAGTATTGACCATGCTTTCAGTGAACTAGTTGGAAATTTGTACGTCAATTTAGGTTTTACATAGATATTATTTAAATGAAAGTACAGTACCTTATCATACTGGTACAATTTTTATAGCCCTTAAAAGGCAAAGGTATGTAAGATTTTTTTTCTCTCCGTGTTTCTGCTAGAGGATTATTTAGTACTACTGCATTCCAGAGGAAACACTTTTTTTTTCTGAATTACTTATGGTGATTCTACCCTAATTTTACAAAAAAATAAAGCAATAATCTCTTCAGCAATAAGTAATTAGCACTTACTGGGTGAGCTCAAACCATATATGAACTGTTTACAGCTGAACTGTCTGTATCTTGAAAATATGCTTTCTACAGGTCACTTTTCTTTTTCCTTCTAGTCTGGTCTCATTCTGGCACTGAGGCCTTCGCTGTCCTGCGAAAGGAATTTTCCTTGGTAATGGCTGAAAATAGAAGAACTGTTTTTGTGATTACCAGGGATTAATTAGGAATCGTTTTTCTGGACAACTCAAAATTCGAATTACTCTAAACATGCGTTGCATATGTAATATGACTGCATGATGTATCAATGTAGATTTACTTGGAATGCAAAAGGCCTTCTCATCTCTTTATAGCAGTTTCCTATGCACAGTACGAACTCGGAGATACCCCGTTCAGCTTTGGGCTGCATCTGCCATCATGCAAGTTCAGTTGCACAGAAAATCGTGTTAGAGACATCACTGACACAAAACAGCATTGTCTGTCTTCTCTTCTTGAACTAGATCCTAAATTCACTTGTAAATGGTAGTTATTTTTATTTAAAATATTTGAAATTTCAAAGAAAAAGTAACTTCTTCATTAAAGGCAAGGCTGAAGTAAAGTGAAAGGCTTATCATAGGGTTTCATTCCTGTGTAAGACCGGTTTAAGGAGAAAAAAATCTTTTGAGAAATACAACATTAAGAAGTTACAGTGAAGCAAGTCATTACCCAGTCTTGCTTTCGGAGGACTTCTGAAGTGCACTGTTTGAGTGGCTCAGCCAGCTTGGTACTGTTGGTAGAATCACAGAGAGGGACAAATAGATTTAACTGTAGTTTTCACATGTCCTAACTATTTTATGTATGGGTTCTGTCACCCCTTTCACCAGCTTTCAGT